TGAGGGGTGGGCAGCACTCTGCTCTGCTCCCTGCTTCCCTCCATGTGTGCAAAGACCTCCAAAAAATTTCCAACCCACTGCAGCTGGTCTGCTATATATGCTCCCAGCCTCTCTCAGACTTCTGCAGGCAGCAAAGGGGAGGCACGGGGTGGAGCTGGGGTGCAGGAAAGCTCTTCACTCGGCCCATGCTGCAGGAAGGAAAGCTTCTCTCCCAAACCAAATGACTGGACCTGATTTGGCTGCTCAGCAAGCATGGCTGAGCAGACACAGTTTGATTTGCCATCCTCTGCAAGGAAGGACATTTGTCCTCAACCTGCAAACACAGGAACACATAGAGGACACCCATCACAGACATTTCTACGCGAGTCTGGCTCTGCGCTTGAGCCCCCCGTGAGCGGGTGCTGGGCTCGCCTGCCCCGGCAAGCCGGTGGCCCCGCTGCAGCGCAGCAGCCTGCACACAGCCAGCTCCAGCAGTGTGCACTGCCCCACAGAGACTCAAAACCTGGCAGCCTCAGGAGCAGTCCAAGGGAGTTTCAATGCAAGCAGCAGCTAGGAACACGTACAGACCAGATCAAGAGAGATGCTAGGGACTAATGCTGCTAAACTTCCTCTGCAGCATTCAAGCTCAAGGTTTTAGTGTCCAGGGGAACTACTGCTGACACTTTCAACAAAACATATTGTAAAGCCCAAATCAGCAACCACTACAGAACCAAAAGCCAGGACAATAGTGGTGTGGGAAAATAGCAGAGTTGGAAGTATAAAGAGTGTTTTTTTCCTGTTGGGGTTTGACACACAGAAGTAATTCCCTGCTCCTCCCACAATCCACATAATCTCCTACAGGAACAACAACAAAATCACTCAGTAGACTGCAAATTTTTATCTGGTTTACAAATTTGGAAAGATGAAAAGGAGGGAGAGAAGCCACCTCTATTTCACAGTCAAAAACAAAGCCATAGTAAGGATAGTGGACTAACTCACAAGACAGCTGTTTTTAATTCTTTCATCAAGAGATGTCACTTGTCAGAGTTAAAATATACGGATTTTCAACAGCAAATTAAATTTAGCAATAGATGTAATACACAGAGATTTTTTCTTCTGCACCTAAAAAATAAAAGGGCAGAAATACTACAGATGGTGGCAGGATCACTAAATATTATTTGGTACAAAAAACATCCTAAAAATTATAAAATCCTAAAGCTCTGCCTACCTCTTTCAAAAGCCAGACTCTCTCTTGAAGTGTATGCTAGCAAGTCAAATTGGGGATATCTCCCTACTGCTACTGAAGCTGCTGTTTCTCTCTTGATCTTTTGATCACTGCAAGTAATTTTACTTTATTTGAACTTCACTGTAGCACTACTTCCTATGAATTTTCATGTTCAAAAAGTATTCTGGTGAAAGCCACAAGACAACTTTCAAAAAATTACAGTTATTACTTGCCTCTACCCGTAGCACTGGTAAAAGTCCGTGCATTCAATCCCATAGGAATTTCAGATGACTGAAGCATTGTATTTCCTCCATGTGTAATAACAACTGCTCTTATATGTCAGCTGAATGCTGACTAAGGTGAAGTCTGTTTCCTCTCCCTTTCCACAAGCATTTGGACCCTATTTAACATTAAACTTCTTGGCATGGTCTTCACTGGGCAGTCTTAAGCATCAACACAGCATGAATAATAGCAAATACTTCACTAAAGCCAAAATATGAATTTTAATTTAGACCAGCTCTTACTGACAAAACTTATTATAAGAGAGAAAAGGCATCCAAAAATCACAGACAATATAAAAAAGAGACTCCTCTCAACTGCTGACTTGGTATTTTATGAAGGGTGAAGTTTACTAGATTGAAGCTGTTAGGACCAGCACCCCGTCCATCCTCCTTGCTTTCACAGAGAAACACCATGCCTCTGCAAGTCTTTACCCATTCATTGCATATAATTCACCCTGAAACATTCCTCTTTCTCCTTTTCAGCCACATACAGTAAGCTTTTCAGCACTTCCCAGTCACCTATCTAGTATTTCTTCATCACAAGTCTTGAAAAACAAAGGTAACGACAAGTACTGCAGAAGGAGAGCAAGGCTCTGTTACCATTGCCTTGAACAGATTCAAGGAAAGCACTACAGCAGGCAACACTTCTGTGAAGCAGCAATGGGCTATACTTTGCAGCAGCAGCAGCAAGATGCTGACTCTTGAAGTAGCAGTTAGTGCATCAGGTGTCCATACAGGTTCAAATTCTGCTAGAGATAGTATAAAATGTTAAATGTAGCTCTGCTTAAGTTGGAGAGGGGCTGGCTGTCCCCACATAAGGGAATATTCTGGCTTTCTGACCGTGCCTAGAAGAAAACCAGCAGTGTGGGAGGAAGGTCAGGAGGGTGGGTTACCCTGCACAATGGACAGCGTGCAGCTGGGCACACAGGAGAGCCCTGGACAGAGGCACTGATGGGCAGAGACATGGACAGCCCAAGGAGAAGTGCCAGCTTGGGGAAAGGACACATCAGGCAACACATATCCAAGATGCTGCAGAATTAACACCATAATTCTGCTCCTTAGAGAGACAGCTTTCTAAAACGCCTTTTCCCAAGATTTTCATTTTCAGGTTGCTGAATTGAATCTCCCCAATCACTGATTTACAGCTGCAATGTCTAAATAGCACACATTTTTCCTTCGATGTTTTAAAGACCTATTCCAAGGTGAATTCACTAACTTCCTATCAAATTACTCAAGTCTTTTACTATAAGTACTTTCTGTACTTACCCCTTGAGCTCTCAGCAAACACATCTGGAATAACTGAGGAACCTACATATTAAGCTAAAGCCACCATACACTTTTCACAGATTCCTCAGTTCTCAGTTAAAACTTCAACACAACCTGATCAGTACCTTGTTTCTAATACTCCTCTGTAGTAGCAGAAACACACATTTTCTTTCTTGGTTCTCCTTACACTTACCCTACCTAACTGGTACGTGTTTAAGTATATCATTGCCAGCTGCCTTGAGTTGAGTAGCTAAGGACCAGACTAGCAGCCTTAATGTATTTTATTTAAAGGAAGGTATGAAATCTAAATAGTAAGTATACATCATAACATGGCCTATATTCATCCATACTTACTTTTCCTACCTGTTGGGTCATTAAACTGTCATCACCTTACTATGAAAAACAATTAGAATCTATTTTTCCCTCGGTAATTCATTAAATGACCAAACACTTAAAAACTGACTCAATCAGTTTTTCTGAGTGTTTTGGCCTTCAGCTAACACATTTTTGAATTTTCAACTATATTCAGCATGCATCTTTCCCCATTTTTCTTATCTCCAGTTAACTCCCGAGTTAACTTCACTACCCTGTCCTTTGTACGATAACGGTTTAACCTTCGCGATCAGCTTATAAAATTGCCCCCTCCCTTCCCCACGCAGCCTGGTGTCCACTAGCATCTGAGAAATGGCTCTCCTGAGCTTAGTCCTCTCACTACAGGATGGACAGGGAGGTTTGTGGAGCAAACGCAGCATTAATGGCCGTCAGCAAAGCAAAGCCACTCTTCAAACCTCTCCCATATTAAGTTGAACTAATTTTGAACTCAAGAGATTGGATATCCCACCTACATCAGCAGGCAGCGTCACGTGACCATTGAGGGGACACTGATTCTCAAAAGATCTGCAGCCACCTCATTAACAATCCAGGGCTCCACTGGCTGGTCCCCAAAATGACCTCAGTCAGGCTAAATACTAAGCACCTTGGGAGATATGCTTGCTTCCAGAAGTGGGGGAAAAAAAAAAAAAAAGAAAAAAGGAAAATGTGCTTCACAGCACATTACCACTGACACTACTTCTTCATACAAACCACACAAACTACAGTAAATGAATGGAAATTTTTCACTATTCTTCAAGCTGTCTTCTGCTCTTATCATCACATTTCATATTCTGGCAAAAATGAGAATACATATTCTATTTTTCTTTTTTGTAAGGATTAGGTAAAACATTATTCACTTCTAAACCATTTCTCAAGATCATTTGCTTTCTCCTCATGTTTTTCCCTTTCATTTCTCAGTCAACCCCCTACTAAGCCCTCTACTCAACTAGCAAGATAGTCAAAGGCTTCATACATTAATTTTGTCAAATCTGAAAGGCCTCTAAAGACTTACAACTCTTCTTGCTCACCTTTTCTAGAAAGAGTTGCCTCTGGCATCTCAACTTGTTGCACTCCCTGCTTTCAGCATCTTTCATTGCAGTTCAATTTCTCTCATTCTCCCCTGCATCTGCCCCACCCAATCCCTGTAGTGATTCCCTACACACTAGAAGACGCACATTCCCCTCATACTATATGGCCTACTACCCTTTATGCATACGTATGTCCCTGGAAAGCAGAAGACTAATAGCTTGGAAGAGTTAGATTTTCTCTCTTTTCATCACACTACAGTCTAATTTCAGATTTTGTAAGCCTCCAGGAGTAATGAAAGCACAAGCCCCTTGTTCAAGTATGCTGAGAAGTCAAATTGGCAAGATTTCTCCATCCAACATATTTCTGTCTTTGAATGAAGACTTTTTAGCTTCCAAACACACCACCTTTAACTACAGCATGAAAGGAGCAAGGCATATAGCATCTATTTTTCAAAAAAATAATCACATCTGTTCTGGTAAGACAGATCTTCTAGGTAAAAAAGATATTCAGCAAAATAAGTCTGCAATACTTCTCTTTATTATGAGTGATTGGTACAGACACACACAGAGATGAATCTACCTCTAGCTCAGGTTGAAGAAGAAAGATCTCAAGAAGAATAAAGACAACATCACTTTACAGAGTATCCATTTCCAGACACAGGAATTTTTCTATCATCCTACACTACCTTCTTTCAGGCTCCTCTTTACCACACAACTCAATTATTTTGAAATGCCTAAAAATAATGACTGAAACAAGCAATTCCAGATCCCTTAAATTTATTACAGCCTCAACTCCAGTGAAGTATTTTCCTACTAATATAGGGAAGAAAGGTAGATAGAGACACTAACCTCTGGCTGACAGTTTTTTGGTGTTGATGATTTTTGCAGCATATTCCTGTGAAGAATTTTTCTTTACACATCTGCGGACCACAGAGAAAGCTCCCCTGGAAAAAAAAATAAAGAGGGTAGGTGCTATGAAACTGAAAATGAAACTATAATAGTAACAATTCCTGTTCCCAGAGTGGACCAGATTAAGGACAGGGCAGAAGACATACAGAGGAAGGACACAACACCTGAGAATCTGATAAACAATGCATGCTGTCTGATCAGCAAAAAACTTAAGTCTGTATCGTACTCAAGCTTCCTGAAGGCTCCTCAAGCCCCCTCATGGACAGCGCAGTAGGAAGAACACACTGTGTGGGGAGAGAGAGACCATACAGGCCAGAAACAGGACATGAAGGGATTAATAAACAAGAGACAAACAGTCCCGAACAGCGCTGCAAACACTAGCTGGTAAGTCCATCTCCCAGAGACAGCATCCCCGGCAATCACAGCACAAACCTAGGACTCATGTCTCCCATGCTCAAGTGCAAGCTCTGTCACAAAATCACTGCAACACTTTGCAGAAGTTAATAGTTCTCTCGTATCCCTCAACCCACTTGCAAAATGGGGATAGGCATGTACCTACTAATGAAGTAAGTAGAAAACTACCTGGATTTCTACATTTCTACATTTCTACATTTCTCAAGCTCGAACTATTTGTATTATTATAACTATTCCAAAGAGAATTACTCTTGGAGAAGAGGTCTGAGAGAGAGGGAAGAAGGATTTCTGTGAGGAAAAAGACTGAATACAAGAGACCAAGGTGAAAAGACAGAGACTGAAAATCTACAGGACTACACAATTAGCACTTGGAAACAGATTATTTTTTAAAAACAACAAAAAAACCCCCAAGGTGGGTAAAGAACAACTAGCTTTACGGAAAAGACTTGAAATGGGGAAAGGACAAATATCAGAAAACTAGCAGAAAATTCAAAGTCCTTCAGATCAGGAATGCAAACCCATGTCTAGGGACAAATGTCCGTATTTCAGCTATGAGAGAGGGGAATAGAAGCTGCACAAGGGCCCCACAGACAGTCCTACAGGGAGCCTAAAATAGCTTGAATCCTTCCAATACTGCGGAGTCCTGGCCTTTTTACCCCCTTCCTCAACCTCTACATACAAACCAATGAGCATCAAGGTGAGCAGCAGCACTGGGGCCCGGGCTTGGTGACACACAGCTGCAGCAGCCTGGGGAGGGACAGGGACACCGGGCTGGAGAGAAGAGATGCAGCAGAGCCCAGCAGTTGGTGCAGGAAGGGAGGGAGCGAGCAGCAGCACCCACGAAAGCACTGTCTCCATAATCCTACTCTAGCCCTTTCTGCACTGCTTTCCTGCCCAACTGCGCTCCCCTGCAAAGCCCTGTCCTAGGGTGCAGCAGCAAGTCTGCCAATGCGGAGACAAGTGCGGAGAGAGGGAGGGAAGAAGCGAGGAAGCGGGGAGGGAAGAGAAGCGCGGTGCAGCAGCACCTGGTCCTTTCACAGGGACAAGGAAGTGGGGACTGAAGCATCGCGGAGTGGCTGTAACAGTGCCGCGTCCCAGCGCAGAAACAGTTGCAGGGGACGGCAACGTGCAGCTGGGAAACGGTGCGGGAAGGAGAACGGGGCAGCCAGGTCCTGAGGAAGGAAAGGAGGGAAGAGAGAAAATCTCGGGGTGCAACAGGAACAAGCAGCCCGAGACAGGCTGCAGGGACACCCGCTGCGGCGGGGCGACCCAGGAGGGCAGGAACACCTTTCCCTCCGGCGGCTGTGCCGCTGGGGTGGACGGGGGGCTGGAGAACAGGATTACAGCGCGACAGCTAATCCTTCTCCGGCTCCCGGGAGAGCCGGGTCGCCTGCACAGTGCTCCCAGCAGCGCCGGTGGGTCCCGGGGCCGGGGCGGGCGGCGGGGCGCGGCGCGGGGCGCACAGCAAGCTCCGTACTTGCCAAGCTCCTCGTAGAGCTGGTACTCGTCGGTGAAGCGGGTGCACGTTGCCGTGGTGGCCATGTTCGGGCTGCGGGAGGCTCAGCGTCGCTGGGGCATGGGGCAGGGCGGCGGGCACGGGCCGGACGGGCGCGCTGCTCGGCGGCCTTCCTCCTGGCTCGGCGGGGCGGCGCGGGCTCCCCCGGCGCCCGGCTCGGCGCTCCCCGCTCCGCCGTGCACAGTCACCGCTCGCCGGGGAGGGGAAGGAGGCTGAGCCTGGCCAGCACCGCGAGAACTGGCTCGGAGACACCCCGCGCCGGCCCCCTCCCCACGCGCTCCGCAGGCGGCCGGGAGCAGACCCCGGCCGGGGGCACCGCTGGTATTTCTCTTAATTCCCCGCGCGAGGGGCGCCGGGCCAGCCGCGGCCGGATAAGCTTCCTGCGTGCGGCGGGAAGGGAGGGAAGAGGGAGCCGTCGCCGCCGCCGCCCTCCCCCGGGCGCACGTCAGCGGGGGTAACACCGGGCCACCCGGCCCCTGCGTGTCGCGGCCCGCGGGCAGCAGCCGTCCGGCTCGCTCCGGCCGCTCCGTGCGCGAGGAGGGAGAGGCGGTAGCTCCCGGCCGCCGCCGCCCGTCCCGACCCCAGTCAGAGCCCGGCGTACAGCGCAGGGAGCCCGGCACGCTGCGCTGCCGCCCGCGACCCGGGGAAGCGGGGCCTCAAGCCTTTCTGCGGATCCACCTCAAAGTTGGGCCCTGTGCTCCCGAGCGCTGCCAGGCTGCCCGACCTTGGGGACGCGTGTGGAAGTCCCCGAGGAAATGAACCATCTGGTGCAGAGGTAAAGCGGTAACACGCGAAATGGCTTGAAACTGTTAAGAGAGTGCGAACCGGCATTCGCACACACGCGTGGTTTATGGTGATGGGACTTGGACGCAGAAGACAAACAGAAATCATCAGTCTCCCAACTACAAAAGAAAACAAACCAGCCTCTGTGCTGTCTTTACTAGCACAGCATCTGAGACTGCTGCTGCAGTGCCTTCATAAGCAAGTTTGTTTTCTCCTTTTACTTAAGTGAGTCTGTCTCTGTCTGAACAATTGCCAAATCTGCTTAATATGCAGATTTATATAGGGCAGTCACTGATTCAGCCAGAGAGGGAAGGGCTGCACTGGCCTCTCCTGCGTGACTGGGAGTGCAAGCTGTGTTAAGAACATTCAGAGAGACAGATGACTGTACCATAAGCCAGGAGTAGCATTAAACTGATCTGAAAATTAAGAGTACTGTATAAGTACCATATATTTCTGCGCCATGTCTGGACTATGAAATCATCATGTTATTCAATCATATGAAAAGCAGTGACAGCAGCCACCTGCATAAACCCCCTGCTCCCTGTCTCCAGGTTAAATGCAGCCAACCCAGTGCTGCAAAGACTACACCAAAGTGATGCAGTGGGCAAAATTTCCCTCCTCCTATGCAGAAAGTAGATAGCAAAAGTAGGACAACATAACAGTAGCATTACAACAAAGCAATACCTCTAGAAGGTGATTATGAAACAACAGCATTCTGTGTCTCACACCATTGCCAGCATTTAAACCTGGAAACCTGCTGACACAGCTGTATAATTCAGAGAGCCAACAAATGATCTATCCAACAGGTATCAGTTGATCAGGCTTCTGCCAAGATAAGACTGTTCCAACAGCCTCATTTGGTGGTCTACCCGTTTCTTTAACAGAACAGTTACAGCCAAGGAGGGAAGCAGTTTGACAACCCATGGTCTTTACCAGGGGAATTGGCTGATAACATGAAATTCAAGTGGGAAGATTATACAGAGGTGGGCAATGTTGCTGATACACAACTGGCACTGCATTTCCACCACCCAAAATGACATTAGATGTCCTTTGTGCAGGAAAAGTGAACTGTTAAGTTTGTGCTGTGGTTGAGCAAGGCCATGTCATCAGGAAATATGCAACCCATTCCCCAATGTTAAGATGTACAGAGCAACTGGAACAGTGCTCTGTTCCAACAATACAAAACTGAGAGTGGAGGATTAGGACTAAATTTTAGCAAGCTATATTGAATAAGCAGCCAGAGGGAGTGAATCTTATGCGGAGGAAAGCAGCTGAGCCATGGCCAAAAAGTACAGCAACAGGAGAGGTTTATCTAAAACTATGTATTAAACTGAGAGCTATTCTGCAGTTGAAAACTGTTTCAACTGGACTCACAGAGCGTTCTATGCTCTACACAAAGCACCCCATGATATTTAAGAAGCTCTGATAGTAGTGGTCTTATAAAAATACACTAGGAATGTAAAAAGAGGGAGACAAGAGGACATTTCTCATCTTCAAGTGCTACAATGAAAAGTGAGGTCTGGAAATCGGAAAGGGAACAGAGGAGCAAGTGTGTAAAGAAAAGCTAACCATGTGTTCTGCATAGCAAGTGCTACAGAAACAGATTGCTAACTGAGAAACTTGTGTTAAGTGAGAAGTGGGATATAAATTGAGTGACAGACTTGATTAAACCAAGTACTGAGTGGGAGACTAAATTATGGGAGTAGAGTTTTTAACAAGAATGTAGACAAAATGAAGCAGGAGGAGGGGTGGCAATATGGATAAGAGAGTATTGTGTCAACAGAAAGAAATATTGATGTTCTGGCTGACATTCCAGTCTACTTGTACTGAGAGCAAAACTGCAAACAGAGGTGAATCTGGATGGTGCCTGGTCAGAATAATGTTGCAGGGACCAGAACAGTAAGAAATGGTTTTGAGAGCCTGTGCACTAGTAATGGGAAATTCAGCTAATGAACTGATCCTGACCTGAGTTATATGCAGGATTGAAATCTGGAAATAAAGCTTTGCTTTTCGTACTAGCCAGCTGCAGATTTCACATTAGCAGAGTGGCAGTTTTGGTCTCTATCTTTGAAGTAGCACAGTTTGGCTTATACAGTACTCTAAACTGTCAGGGATCTGTGAGGTAATAATGTGATTTTAATAACTGGAGTTGAGTAAGAGGCACTAAAGAAAGTAAGTAAAATGCAAAGGATTTAATGCAAAGCCCATGGGCGTAAATGGACATTTCCTCTGATGTTAATGGACTTCGGATCAGGCCCCATCTGTCCATGGAGCCTAAGGTCAGCTTTGGTATGTTGAAGAATGTCTGTGGGAAGACAATTACACGAAAACATTGGTCTTTAGGGAAGCAGAATGAAGGACTAAAAAAAATATTTCACAGAAACCAACTGGAATTCAAACCACTGTGGAAAATGGGAAGGATGCTGGAGAAGATGCATGATCAGCAAGGCTGAACAAGCCCATGTGCAGCATGTATCTGTGTGCTGAGTGGGGCAGTGCTGGCTAGTACCAGATAGGAGGAAAGGGTGTTAGCAAAAGTAAAGGACTTGGGAAGGGTAAGAATGAGTGCAATTAGAAATCAGTTGGGGAGGTTGAAAGCAAGTACCAAAAAAGAAACATGCAGTAAAGAAAACGAGTAGACATAGTTTTTAAACAGACATTTTCTGGATTTCTGCTATTAACTTGGGGTCCCACAAAGAATCAACCAATTTTTCTCTCTCTGTCTCTGCTCTCCAGCCTGTCTCTTTAAAGTGAGTAGCTCCAGGAAGGTTTTATCTCTCACAGAGATATTACAGGGCATAAAATTCAGCCTGCCTTGCTATTGTGTGGGGCTTCTTGACACTACTTCAGTATAGTAACAAATGAAAATGCAAAATAAAACATCCAGACATCTAAAATTGTGTGAAATATTCCATCATCTTAAAATGAGAGATTTTTTTGGCATGTGAGGAAAAGTTTTTAACTTCTTAACTATTATCTTGCTTCTGAATGTACAAAGAAATATCCAGAGTTACCTAAATGAAGTATCACTTTATCATTACTGTTCATGGCCTCACATTCAGGTTCACAGAAGAAAGCCCCCTTATTTTCATAGCTGATCATTCACATTGGCTATACAAAATCTCAATTTTTTTTTTTTTTTGCTTACGCCATTGTTGAGTATCTACCAAGAAAATCAATTTCATTTAATGTGCCTGGTTGTCTTCTTCCTTCTCCCAAACTGACATTCATTTGCTACCTCTGAGGATTTATAAGTGAGGCTGATAAAAATAAAAAGTAGCATGCATAGAAAGAAGATTGGAAAGAGAGGAACTTTTTAGTGAGTGAATATAAAATTTATATTTGAAATAAACGATAGAGTTCTGGAGAGAAGCAAATATTAAATTACCCTATTAGTAGGGACTATTCAGCCATCCATCTAGTTTAGTGTCTTGTCTTCAGTAGTGACCTATTCCAGATGATAGATGTAACAGAGGGAGAAGAGAAGGGTATGAAAGGAAGACAGAGAAGAAAAAGGGAAAGGAATCAAAGCAGGCCAATAGAGAAATCCATGTAACGATGACCCATGTGCATATTGCATGCCTCTTGATTAGAGACTGGCTTTCCTCCTGACCCCAAGCTGATGATCAAAATGTGCCCTGAAGCACCAGGACTGGTAGCCCCTGTAATTTTGATCCTAGCTTGTGTCAGTGCACATGCTATTCTGTTTCATGTCAACGCCTAATCCTTTTTGATAGTTACTAAGCTATTTAAGTCAATAATATCCCACGGCTCTGAGTGTCGCATGTTAATTATATGGCTCATAAAACATATAACCTGATCTCATTGCAAATTTGTTCTATTTTAATGTCTCTGAGTGCTTTCTACTGTTACGAGACAGGGTCAGTATAGGTAGTGTGACCAAGTGGCCAGCCCTGTTCTGTACATCTCTGCTCTTCGGTGCTGTGGGTCACTGCCCCAGGAGCTCAGACTAAGGAGGGGGCAGCTGTGTCTGCAGGGTCTCAGTGCCTGGGTGCCTCCGGGCAGGCTCTGTGTACCTGCTGGCAGCCTGCCTGCTTCCTCGGCACCCCTAGTGAGCCATGGGGGCACATGCCTTTCCCTGGGGTTTTTCCAAGTCACCTAGACACAAGGTATTTTCCTCTCAGCTTCAAGAGCTTGCAACTTCGGATGTCAGAAGCACGGGCTAGGTCCCCAGCTAGGAAAGGGAAGCATTTGGTCCACATTCAGCATATTTAACTGGCAAAAGCTCACTCCACACTATCTTTTCTCTAGAGCCCTATCCTACCTTAATAAGGGATCAAAAGCAGATTTATTGACTGATTTCACAAGCTGTTACAGATTCCTGCACAACTACATATAATATAGGCAAAACTTAGTGGAAGATAACCCATGGATAGCCTGGAAGAGCTGAGTACTTCACCCACAGGGCAATACAGAAACAGGCTACAGCAGCCTGATTTATGTTTTTCGTCTCATGAAAATCCAAGTCCCTTCAATAATAGCATGAGCTCTAGGTTAGAAACTGAGTGAGCTCAGAAGACTCACCTTTCCAGATTCTTCTTGGAAACTTTATATGCTAGAGAGGCATCACTAAACAATTTTTGAATGCTGAGCTACAGTGTCTACTGGGTGCTCTCTTAACTGATCAGTTTTTACAACATGTTATGCTTTTATCACATCTAAATTATTCTTTGACATTTATCCATAGGACCCTATAGAAAACAGTAAGAATTATGAAAGTTGGACAAATAATGTGAGCAGTAATAACACCCTCTAGTTCTGTATCTATAAGAGCACTAAAAATAATGCATTAAAAACCCCACGTTTTCACTTCTATCTTCTTGAAACTGGCCAGTGTCAATTGTTAATTGGGCGAAGAGCAGGGTTTCCCACCACTTATATGGCAACAAAGTCATGTTCCACAAACTCCTTTAATAACTGTCCAGTAACAGTAACTGGTATGGTAAAATCACTATCAGATGAGGTTAGCCTCAAAACATTTATTTCTGTTGCCTCCTGTGGTGGATGAATGACAGAGAAACAGATTTTCCTGCTTCATCAGAGGAAGTGGACAGATCCATATGATCAGTGCCCAGTTTAGCTTAATAGTGACTCCAGGCAGCTCTGCTGTCACCGAAGGGTTACTCTGTGGGTATACGATAGTGGGGAAACATCTTGAACATTCATTTGAATATGGCCATCGCAGTGGAATGTTCAGGGCTATTTTAAGATTCACACTGTTTGTTTAAACAAGATGGCATGACTCAATGACTGTTACGTAAAGGATGAACACAGATTTTTCCCTATATCCCAAATATCTCTACCAACTTAAAATATTGTATGGAATTATACATATACCATGCTAAATGGTATTGATTACTGAATGATTACTGAAAACTAATGCCACATCCTGGAATGGAGTCTCCCTCTTTTTAAGGTAAGGTCCCTGTCAAAGGAGAGGCTAATATTGCAAAAAAGATGATGGATGGACAGGCTACAAGAGCTGAATGCTGCCTTTCAGAGTGTTGAGAAGAATATGAACAAGTAACTCCCTCATTGCTGGGGTTCACCCATAACCAAAAGGAATGAGAAATGAGCATTTGGTTTCCGGTGATCAGTCAATGCGATCTATTGCTACTGCTGAAAGAAAAGACTTCCATTTAGTGCCAGCTGCAACAAATTTTGTTTTTCTGCTGTTTAAAATGGAGCACAGATCACTGAGAAAACCTCCAGTTTAACTCTCACAACCAAAGTCAACAAAACATTTGGCTATTACTAGCTCTATTTGAATTAAATTCAAATTAAGCTAGACTAATGTATCTCACGTTATCCATTTTGCCATCTTGTCATCTCAGCTGAATTTATGGCACAGTCCTTGGGGAGATACTAAACTTCCATTGAGTTTTCTGTTAGCTCTTGCTTTAAATGGTTGTGGATTATTGTCCCAGAATAAAAGTTCTAAACACCAAAGATACCCTGAAGTGTGTGCAGACTCTTGAGATTACAAAGAGACCAAATCATTCCCTTGGGGAATTTGCTGTCATATAGTACATTGATGGATCAATCTCAAACTGCAGGCTGTTTAGAACAAGGCATCTGTCTGGTCTTGTTTGGGAAAATACTGTGCATATCTGGTAGCATGTCATTGACTGATCAATTTTAAACTCTCAAATCATAGCACCCTACCAATTAAGCACCAAACCATGACTGGAGTTATTTAATTTTAACACAAAATAATAGAAAGTTATTTAAAAAATACAGGGGCTTATTATTAATTTTGTTAAGCTTGCAGTTCTAAAGTTTTTGGCTTTCACAAGAACACCCTGTGCTCCTTGCCCTCATGGGAATGCTGAACACAACATGACAGAATCATCCAGCACTGGGATTCTCAAACCTTTTTATCCTGAGAGATTACTCTGAATCTGGGAGACATTACAAGCAACATTTAATCATCAAAGCTCCTGATCCATTATAAGCCATGAAGTAGTGTACTTCCACAGCACAAACGTCACTGCCAAAATTGGCATGAACTGGCCCCTCCTGGCAGTCTCAGGAAATCAACGTTTACAGAGCCTGTGCTTTCCTGTCATCACCAGGCAGAAGTCCTTTCAAATTTAGGACTAAGGCAGGAAGGGTGTATTTTCACTAACAATGTCCACAGTACAAGTACAAAGGAGTCGATGCAGAAGCAATATCTCCAGAGTATTTCACCATCACTTTCACCAGCACGAAACTCTCAAATTACACCTGTTAGCAGAAAATGGTTTTCCATTTTCCTGGTTTTCCTTTTTTTCATCTTTGAATCCTCTTGGTCCAGTGTTTCACCTCCTCAGTTTAAATAGTAACTGTTCAAAGATGACCTTGATATTTTTAAAAGAGCCTGTAAAACCTCTCCACTGTAAAACAGCCAGTTTAACATTTATGCATCGTTTTAAAAAAAATAAACATTTTAACCAAAATTGCCTGAATGTTTACATGATGGGAGAGATGGCTCACAGGACTCTTCAAAGAACATTGGCAGTAATTTTCTACCCTGAGTAAAATAAATTAATTAACACACATGTCCTGTTTCACATCAAAAGAAAATCTGGCTCCAAGGAACAATCCAAAGGAGAGGGCCTGTGAATGTTTACAAAAACAGCCTGAGCCAACAAGAGCAGCAAGAGGGTATTTGGGAACCACAGCAAAACCTCCACCCAGCAGCTGGACTCTCTGGCTTCTCCAGGTTTCAGTTCTGTCTGTGTGTAACAAATAGGGAACACACAGTGAGAAAGACAGGCCTGATTTCCCAGCCAGAGCAATAGTAAAATAATGATTTAAACACCCCATTACAGCTACAAAACCTGTGGGAATAAGTGAAGTAAATATGTTTTACAATGAGAGAAATGAGCCAGAGAGTGGGACAGTGACTCTCATGACCTCATGGGAGTGCATCTGTCATGGGAAGGCAGAATTCAGGTTGCTCCTCCAACACGAACAGATACAAACGCTTTCCTGTGGATCTTGATTTTGGGTGAAGGTAATGCAGTAGTGCCACTCTGAATTAAATGTGCAGCTGTCATCAGCTTTCCCCCCCAAAAAAAGCATGGAGTGCCATCCACAATTAAAAACTCACTAAACCTTTCTTATGTTGCTGTGTCTCTTTTCTATGGAATGGCTGTGACTGCCACTGCATTCTACACCTCCTTCTGAGTGCACTTTGTTCCTTGTATCTTGTTAAAAAAAATAAAATGCAAAGGAAAAAACGATGATTCTTGACAGGTTAAAAAAATTACACCCAGCATCTGTCAGTTTGGGTTGGGATCCCCATTAAGAATCCACCACTGTGAGTCTGCAGTGACACAGACTTCCTGCCTTTGAAGGGCAGTAGGCAAACACACCTGACTGTGTGGAAACACAAATATTTGCACATTCAGAAGCCCTCAAGTATCTAATTTGTATACTGCAGAGAAGGGTGTTATTTCCATGTTTAATGGCCTTATGTTACGTTTGAGAAGTACCAGTGAAAAAATACATCCCAGCAAGAGAATAAGATGCTAGCTTATGGCTGTTTGTTTCTTGAATACTTGCAAATCACAGAGGTGTGTGCAAGCACATGAAGCAGAAGCATGCTTTTGGTCACAAAGATGTGGATAAGGCGACTCATGCTGAGGTGTGCACGTGTACAAGGAAAGATGAAAGGTGTTTTTAAATATATATTCCAAGACACACAATACGTGCAAAGGCCAAGGACCCAGAAACAATAGGGAGGAACTGACTTAGAGTGAGCTCCATGCAGCAAAGAAGGATAGGCTAGGGTGTGTCAGAGAGAGAGTGACAAAGCGTTTTATATTTACATGAGAAAATAAATGCTGTCAATACAATTAAGAGCCAAACTCCATTTAGCTTCTACTTCTGAGTATGGAAGAGGATGTGCACTCTGTGATCCCATGCAGCTGTAACATTCGGCTGTCATTCTTACAGGAAGAGCAAGCTCCCCCTGGAAATCACGCCTGCTGGCTATAACTAGAATTCACAGAACTAACATCTGCCTCAGCTTTGGCATCTGTCTCTATTCCTAGATATGAACAGGAGTAGGTGAAAGCACAGTCTGGACTGTCCCTGACTCCACTGGATGGTCCTCAAGTCCAGGAGCTGGGGTAATTCATCTGATGAATGAATGATAACAGTTGAGGACTCGAAAGTCCTGTTCCTAGCCCACACTTCCCTTTGGCAAGAGAGAACGGGGGAGTTAAAAACTTAGTTATATTGCATGTCACTAGAAATACAATTTCAGAGTGAAATTCAAGAGTTTTACAGGCACATACAAAATGTTTGAAACTCCCATGTGATTCCATTTCTGCTTTAGAAGAGCTTCTTATCATATTCATATTTTTCTGTCAACAACTTAGATGCTTTCTAAACCTAAATATTGCCTATTTATTTAAATTTATACCTTCCTCCTTTTGTCTCAAAGGTCTAATTCTCTTGTTTTCTTGGGATAGTATGCATTTCTTGGTAACTGAAACTTACTTTATCATTTTCTAAAGCATATTTACCAACACTGATATCACAAAGGTGACTGCCTAGATCAGCAGTTCTTTTCTGTATGTGAAACATTGTGATGGACACAGTTTTGAGCTATGATTACCACCCAGCTGATTTAGAGATGAGGCCTTCTTATGGACACCATGCACACTTTGAGCATTAAATTTATTATTTATTTGTTTCTGTCCACCTGCTAACAGGCCAAACCTTACAGAATTCACCTCAATGCTGGAGATGAGAAACTAGCCTCCTGTATTTCCAGCACCTTTCTCAAACTAGGACTTTGTTTGTTATAAAGTGTATTGCCAGAACAATAGCAAATGTTGTATTAAGTGAAAAGGATATATATTATGAGTGGTTTTTGGTGCCTCAAGTCTAACACATTAGCATAAAGATTTGCTCAAACACACAACACGTGGTTGTTCTGGCCTTAGGCTGGTACA